AGTCTTCAGACACGTTCCACAACTACCAAACAGGCACAAAGTAGCCACCAGCCAGAGAAACAGAGCAAAAGCCCAGCCCAAAACGGCGTATGCCCCGGTCGCAAATTGTGAGGTAACAGCCCCCGACAAGCAAAGGAAAGAGCGCTTTGGTCGATTCAAAAATGGCCCCAATGACCATATCACAATCGGGAACAGCAAAGAGGCAAACCAGAGATCTCAATAAAGCAACGCGCGGTTGCCGAGGACGCATTCAAAGACGACCAACTGACCCTGACACATTGAGTAAGTAAGTACATTTGACCAGGTGGTTTACGCCGGCGTCGTTAGTCTGCCATGGAACAGGCGTCTCATCCCGGTCGTCACTAACAGACGCCTCCGGGGGACGAGCATAAAACAAAAAAGAACCAACAATTTGGTGGTCAGCCACCCCCTCAGTAAGCCAAGATTCACGCGCTATGCCCGGGTTCAAAACGACCGATGAGGACAGAATAGCAAAAGTTTGAAGTTTGAAACCACACCCAAACTATGTAGGAGGCTTGGGGGGCGTTGGAGACAAAGTTGGGAGTTGAACTGGAACTTTGGAGTCCGCGTTGGAGGCTTGATTGATTCGAGGCTCATACGTTCGGATTTGACTTTGACTACATTTCGGTCAATTTCCTCTTTCTATTCACGTTGTCATCTCCGAGATCTGTTGCGTCTCCATGGAAATGCTGTTTTCATCGTTGCACGGGAAATCGAAACTTGAAAACTGTTTGTTCGTCTGGAACTATGTAAGATCGTAGTGATCTCAGCGATCTCGATCTCAAAGAAGTCGATGCGCTGGTGACATAGCTTTCCCCAATCCCAATACCACCTGCGGGCAATAATTAACCTTTCCGTTTCCAGGTTTGGGCTATGTCCGCCACTGGAAAATCCAATTTGCTGGACCACTCTAGTTTATTAGCGAACAGTTAAGTCGGGGGTATAGTTTCCATCTCAGCTTTGAGCGGTTGTGCTTTAGTCTTCACCGACAACGAGTCTAAACCATGTATGTACCCCAAGTACGACCATCGGCCATTGCCCCGTCCGGAACGTCGTCGCCGTTGGAACAGGAGCATGTACTCCGTACTCCGGATGCCGCCCACTATGTGCTCTAGTCTGAACATTCCCCAGGCAGTCAGAATCATCTTCTTTCACTGACCGGCGCTGGGTTGAAAATGTGACTAGCAGCCTCGGGATTGTACCTGGCATCCGCCAAAACCATTGAACCAGGCGTATTTCGTATACTTTTTGTTCCCCATTTCATAGGCGGAATCGATCGGCTTCGGCAGCAATGTCCTAGAAGCTCCAGACTAGGTAGGGAGTCCATACAACACATGGAGTAAAGTGGCGGCGATACCGGATGTGGACGGAGAATCGGAGAGGGCGGGAATGTGATCCTGGGAAAGTGACCTTCGGTCTGCACTGGGAACACGCGTTGCTCCACCACGATCGGCTGTAGGAATCATGGGTAAGAAGGTGGAAGGCAGAATAATAGAATTTCGGGATTATGGGTATGAAATTTAGTATTTGGCTTTTGATTGACTATTCCATCCATAGTACGGAGAGTAGCTGGACCGGGATTGTAGTGCGTCTCCCGGGAGCTGGGATGATCATCCCCGAAGAAGATAATCATAAAAATAATATATCAAAAAAAAGAAAAGAAAAGAAAACAGACCCTGGAGAGACACGCTGCATGTTCATGGTCAAACTGTGATAATGATTGTGATTATTGATGAATGATAGCCGAGTGTCTAGACTCGCGTCCCTCCCAGGCCACCATGTGCCTTTTGACTTGAGTCTAATCTTAGACGGACTTGGACGGCCTGAGACACGGCTACGTAATAATGGTCGTGCAGCTCCTCCACTTCTCCACACCGTATACGGTAATTCCAACACACTTGATTGATACGCCGACATATCGTTAGTTCACTGCTTAGAAATGACAGACCCGAGTGGTCAAAAAACAGATACTCTTGATGCTTCCAGCACTTCCTTCGGAGTACAGGGCCCATCGAAACTCAAAGGAGACCGAGGCTAAAGTCAAATGAAAAGCAAATACTCGTACGGAGTACGGAGTACACACATACAAACACAAACACAGAGGCGATGACGGATGTGTCAGACTGGAGACGGCAAAATGGTGCTTGGGGCGCTGGCCAGGAGACTCTCCAAATCAAATTGATCGAGTCTCGAAAATAATGGATGTATTTCGTACTGTAATATCAAATCATCCATCCGTGCCGCCGTGCGCTTCCCTTTGATTCGAGGCGCAATCTGTTTGGCCCCTGCGCCGGGCTGAGGCATGTCTAGAATCCCTCTCGCATGCACTTGACTCTCCCCTGATTGTGATTGTCTTTGTTGCCTTTGCGACCCGTCATCCCAGCCCTTTGGCACTTTTCTTCGTGACTCGAGTATGCCAGGGTGGGAAAGGATGAGCTAGTAGATTGATTGAATGATCCAGGTGGAGTCAGACATTCCCAAAAAAGAATCTTCCCAAAGCGCCTGCCAGGTGGGTGGCTTTCTACTTTCCTTGTAATTTCACTACTGTAGGACTTTCCAACTCCCCCAAAAATACGAAAAGAAGTCAAATCATCTTTGTCGCATGGTGTATCGCCTTAAGATCATCGCTCCGAAAACACGCACACTCATGTCAGTTGATCTTTGATCGTCTCTCACGCCCCCCTGCTGGAGGTGATCGAAAAGGGGGTGTGGGCTGCGAGGTCGCCCATCCGCCCCGGGCTTAGACGTAGACTGTCTCGAAGAGGGGGTAAGAGGAGGGGCAACGATCCTCTTTTTTTTTAGGGCCAGGAATCGGGAATAGTAGATGAGGCTTGTGAAAATGAGAAAAATTGACGCTAGGAATTTCAACCATCGCAACCGCAAATTTCCACCCCCCTCTCGTCAACAAAAACCCCACCGATGTCGTAGATTTTCCTGGCGCAGGAAACTGCAGCCTTGACCGATTCATTACATTAGACCCATCTATGCTAGATTGGTGTTGCGTCGCGTCGCGTTGCTCCAGCGATTTCGCATGCCGAGGCGAAACAGTGGAAAGGTCGATGTGATATCGACGGCGGTTAGTCTACCTCACACACATACTCGTGTACTGTGCGTATGTATGGGACCCAGTCGGCAGGCATCCAATATCTTTTTTTTGTTTAGTTAGTCTCGGTAGTTTGTGTGTTCTCCCGAGCATTCGGTGCCCAGCCGCAAGGACGAGGGGTCGATGCAAGGAGCCTTGCTTTTGGAAATCAAGCAGGCATACTCCGTACTCCGTATGGCATTGCGAGCTCAGTGTCGGCACTGGCATCCGGAAAAAGTGAAAGTGAACGGGGCCAAAGAAAATCTCGACGCATGAGACAGGTTACTCCATGGCAGCGGCACAACCCCTCTGCTCAAAGTCTAGGGAAATTGATGCCGGGGGCGATTGAACGGAATCGGTGCCCCGCCCGGGTTGCTGTGCGTTGTGTAATTGACCTGGGCCCAGATGACGGAGCAACTGGAGCAGAAGCAAATCCAATGTACGGAGATGGAGTCCTACGGAAGTATACGACATACATACACACGGGGTAATCCGGTTAGGAGGTATGCTGATCAGCCCTCAGCTTTGCTGCGTTGGACCCAACCTGTTTTATGGCTGGAACATGTACAATATTATGCTGGCGACATGATATACTTCCATGCTATAGGGCGTACTTGTGTACTATTTGGTCTGTGGGCATACGATAGTAGTCATGTACCAGAAACTCTGTTGCGACACCAATCATGACCTGGCGGCACGCAAGTTCAATTGTGGAGTACGCCGTGGTGGGTGCTCCAGTTGAATGGAGTACCTATCGGGTGAAGAAGTAGTATACTTGTACTCGGAGTTAGTAGTAGAATATTACCAGTTGCCCGCGTCCGCCCGCGCTGACCATAGATAGTGGACTACACTTACTCCTTCGCTACTGTACGATTGACAAGGGATCTCGGATGACTTCCTTGATTGGCGACTCTTCCGCGTGCATACAATGAGGGTGGCTGTTTCTTGCAACGGCCGATGACGGAGTATCACGACGATGTGGGTGGTCGCGGTCAGCCTGCATGCACCAATAGTTGAGAGTTGAACCCGTCTGTGAACCGAGAGACAAGATCATCAGCTTAGCTAGCTTTTGCTATGGGACGACAGTTCACTTTTCTTTTTCTTTTATGATATAAATTAATATTCGTACTTTTTTTTTTATAAAAAAAATAGTATTTTAAACTCCATATACACTTTACCAAAAGACAAATTCCAAGGATTAGATACAAGCACCCGATATGATCCTTGAGATCAATTGATCCATGATGCGTTCTTGTGACGAAGTCGAATGCTGCAGGTAGCACCGTACTCCGTACACGGCAAAAATCTCACGCAAGTTTAAAAAAAGAGGGGGCGGTAAATACTCCATTACTACGCTCCGTGTGGAGCACAATAATTTGCTCGGGAGGTTGTTGGGATTTGGGATTCTAATTTCTGTGCTATTTGCTCATTTGCCTGTGCCATGCACCAGCGGTGACTCCCCATCGACGAAGCTCCGCAGTGCCGCAACCGGGATTACAGCTAGTGGTCGGTGGCAACGTGCGCGCGCACACAAGAGAAGTAAGAGGGGGGTGGATGAATGGATGGATGGATGGATCCATTTTCGAACATTGGCCTTGGGCCATTTTTTTTCTTACGATTGCCCCCACTAAGCCACTAGGGAGGACGTGCGAGTGGTCCACGGGGAGGTTAGTTGGCCCGGGCTGGGGTTGATTTAGTTAAGGGGGGAGAAGATTGTCAAGTCAGGATGTAGATCGGGCAAAGGCAAAAAGGAAAAGTCCCGAGGAGAGAGAGCCAAGGAAAACCGAGAAAAGACGGAGACGGAGATGGAGATGGAGACCAAGGGTGAGAGGAAAGATACAGCCCCATGCAACAGACCCAAGCGAGACGTGGGCTTGTATGACTGTGACTGTGACCAATGTTCTGGATGACCGAAGAAAGAGATCGTCTGCCTCACACTTTCGCTTTTCGCCAGCTCCACTTGCGTTCTGCCCTCCATCTGGGGTTCTGGAAACACCGAAACGAAGACGAAGACGAGGACGAGCAAACCCACACCGTGGCGGTGGCTCGGAAAAAGTGGAGAAGTGGAAGGACTGACGACGAGTTTCTGCCCTTTGGACCCCCTCAACCCTCAGCCCTCGTCAAATCACAATGCTCCAAGTCCATCCCAGCCGACTTTGGGCCGTATCCAGTCTTCAGCTCAGCGGATGACAATCACGGAATCGTGATTTGCACCCGCCAAGATGACCCAGGGTCACGGCCTTTCGATCGTCTCGCGAGCCCTGTCCTTCTCGTACGCGAGTTTCAAGTTCTTTGAACTGGTGGCGTGACGGATGCCCACCCTGCATCCTCTTGAGTCTTTCCTAGTCTTAGTCCCTTTTGCCCGCATCAGCTGTACCAAAGTGGTTCGTGACATGGTACTGGAATTGCCTATCACCGTGAGGCGCGTGCACTCCGCGTCTGCGCGTCGAATCTATTTGATTTCCCAATCGGGACTCGATCCACGGCAATTATCCAGTTGAATCTTCAAGTTGTCGTTGAGGTTCTATGGACGGAGTATACGGAGTAGACTGTTCCCGGAATCAAAGACGTAGTTTCTCCCGGTCATCTTTACTGATGCCCTCTTTTTTTGATTCTTTGATGATCGACAGAGTACACCCGGAAGGATCACAAGTGCAACAATGCCCCAACCACCCGCCTCGAGGACGGAGTAATGTACGAACCAGGAGGCAAATGTCAAAAGGACGGTTTCGCAGGGCGCTTCATTCACAGCGCCAGCGCAGGCCGGAGGTTGCATGATACGCCAACGAATCAGAGACGTCCGCGTCCGTGCTGTAGGGAGGCTTGACCTGAACTATCAAATTGGTCCGCGCGGAACCTCTCCTGAAATCTTAGCCTGGGGCTACTCCGTTATACGGAGTACGGAGTACGGTACGGAGGACCAGGATAAGGCAAAAAAAAGCAAAAAGGCAATATATACGCTACGAAGTATCGTGGAGATGGGCTATCATCCGAGTTTCCGACCAGAGTCCGAGTGGCCGGAAGGTTCAAAGCAAAAAGGGAAAAAAATAAAATTTGAGGAGCCCCTAGAGCCGGAACTAGGAGGTCGTCTAAGAGGAATAATCATGAATGGCAACGGCGATCAGTTGAAAGACCAGTGTATCCGTACTAGGCTTGACGAAAGACCGCGGTCGGAAACCGAGGGCCAAAGGGCTCCAAATCGCCCCAGATAAATCAAACGAGACGAGTCAATGACAAGAAAATGGGCCAATCAGGCGATGGCGCCGGGGGGTACGCGATTAGTCACCTGTAGGGTAACGGTGTCATGATGGCATTTGACGGTCACCAAGACTGAGAGAAGTCTCGGTGTGGAGGGCAAAGACTAGGGGAGAGAACCAACCATGGGCGTGCAATCCGGTGCACACGGACAGCAACCAGTCATGGCGCGCTTCTCACGGGACTCTCAGCCACCGAAGGCGGGTGGCTCGGATTGTTACGAGCAGTGAGACGAGTGGGGGCCCTCTCATCCTAGAATTCCGCTAAAGGGAGAGAGGAGGGAGGAGGGAGGAGGGAGGAGCTGGACAGAATCCGGGCCAGTCAATGGATTGGATTAGGGCCGGGGGGGGTGGTCCACGGGGCCGGTTGCACTTGGTGTTGATTGAACGAATATGCTAGCCGCCCTTCGAGTGTCCAGTGTCCAAGTTCCAGCAGGTTGGCTGCTCAGCAGGCCTTACATGCCTCTTACGCCGATCAGCGAGACCGAGACTCCCGATGCTCATCCCTGCCGCCCAACCCTTCATTATTACCGTCACGCTAGGTATGGACGCCCCTAGAGTGATCATCTCTTTCCTCTCTCTCTCACCTCCAAGGCAACGATGAAGTATGGAGTACTCCGTACGGAGGACGGAGTACAGTACATTATTGGAACTGGGTTTAGAGGCTGACCCGTTCTTGGTCTCTTTTGGGGGGTTCTCTTTTTGTCTAGAACGTAGAACATACTCGTAGTAGTACATAGTATCAGCCACTAGCAATCCTGCCTATTTACAGCAACTTGCACACTAATACTCGTAGTTATACTGTACGCCTTGTCCAGTGTATCTGTCCTCCGTTCTCTGTATACCCTGGAGCCAACTTTGAGACCTATCGTACAGTAGCTTTGTTCATTCCATCGATCAGCCACCGGGTGACCCCCCCTTTAACCCTTCCCTGTGCAGGGACGGAGGCGTACATGCTTGCGCACCCACGCAGACACGCAAGTCACTTACCCTCAAATTGTGTACAGTATTAGAATTATGTATTATCGATACACCCATGGTAATTAGGTAATTAGGTAATTTTCCCTGGCGCAGGCAATTGGACCGACGGTTGCAACCACGCTAAACCCGCCTTATTATTGGATCTGATATGGGTCCTGGAACCCCAGTAAGGTCTTGGATCTGTCCCCCGATGGTTCTGACCCTGTTCTCAGTTTTTCCTCATTTTTCCAATTCCCTATTTCGGACATTTTTTTTTCTCTTTTTCTTTTCTCCTTTTTTTCTTTTTTTTCTGGCTCCAACACTAACCACTGACCAGTTACCACCCAATTTTCGCCCGTTTCTTTCTCTGTCTCTCTGCGTGTCTCCCTAGTCCCCCCCCCCCCCTTCCACTCACACTACACCATTCAGAGTATCCCTCCGCCCTGCTCCGCCCTAACTGTATTGCTGCGGCCGGGACCAGAGGCCTCCGTAAACATTACTCTGCGACCTACCTTTTTTAGGCCTGCATCCACTTGTGACCCCCCAACCACTTCCCTTCCCTCCTCCTCCCCCGGTGGCTCTGACATCAACCGGTATTTCCATTCCCTTTTTCATGTTTTAATTTTCGAAATTAAATGGAGTTTTTTTTTCTTGTATTTTTTTTTTCTGCCCCCCCCCCCCCCCTCTCAGACAATCAATTCTAGATTGACCAAACCGGAACCCAAACGAGTGCCCAGAAAGGAGGATCAACCCTCAGGACCTGCGTCCGGGTCAAACTCTGTCCCGAATGGCCGCTCATGCTTTCTCCGGATGGGTCAATCTACCCTGGCTGTTCTCTCCCTTTAGTGGACTTGAGTAAAAAGGATGGAGATGATGCCTTGACTTCATCCTTCATTATTATTATTATTTTTTCCCTAATTTTTTTTTTCATTTTATTTCCCGCTTAGCCGTGAACGTTTCTTTTTGGAAACCACCCAAACCATACCCCATTTTTATTGGATTTTCCTATTCCGAATTATTACTGGCGGTGCCACTCCTAGATGAGCGGTTCCCTCTAGCCTGGTTTAGTTCGCCTGCCTCTCGATAGGCCTGGCTTAGCCATTTCCATATACATCATTCTTTGCCCCTCTGGGAGTCAAGACCTACTTGTTCCTTTCACTTTCGTCTATTTTCATTTTTTCTTACTCTCTTAGACGAGTATTCAATTTACATCGTCTTCATATTCACTTGATTCACTTGATTCACCGGAGTATTAGTTGTCGGTTCACAATTGGGCAGGTCCATACTATACAGCGGCAGGTTCACCCATCAACAACCATCTCAGCCTCAAAAAGCAACCCCAAGCCAGCAACCCGGAACCCGCAACCTCCCCTCATCACCGGAAAACAACCCTGGGTTTTTACCAAGAAGAGAATGGATCGTTGAATGTCCCTCGCCTCGACTTCACTTTGACATTCACTCCCTCAACTCACCTTCGTCGTTTCCACATGTGTCAACTGGATCTTGAATCTACATCAACCCAGTCCTTATGTCTCTTCCAACGCTGGATTTCCGATCGACCTTGATTCCGGGCTCCATTACACCTGCCACTCAGGAAACACACCACCGCAAACCAACCTTCGAGCCTTCTGGACCATACTGGACTGCTCCCTTCCGGGACGGTCTGCCTACTCCCCCAAGCGATATGACCGGCTTGACTTACAATGCCGTTCCACCCTTCAACTATGGATCAAAGGCACACGGGCTAGTGGGACTGCCCTCTCACGCCTATGGCACTTCGCGTTCACACTTCGACTCGATCTCGTCATCGATGATGCCCGCAATGAAGCCACACACCCAGCACGTACCTGCGAAAGAAGCTCCAGCTCCGGAACCAGTACAGAAGAAATCCTCGGGAACGACTAGTGGCTCACAATTACGGATTCCCTCCTCAATCAACAACACCAAGGGCAGCCTAGCCGAATTTGCAGCTCAGGTACGAATCACTTACTCTGAGCGTGAAGTCACTCGCATTCATATACCAACTAACACCTAATTGTTCCAGATGACCTGCCTCTTTTGGTTCGAGAAAACATCCAAACTCCAATCCATTGAAGATCGACGCAATCCAGCACCTGCACTTGTCCCCGAGGCGATCCCCACGGTCGGTTTTCAGAAATGGGTTTCTACGATTTTGTCGACTACACAAGTCAGCCAGAATGTGATTTTGCTTGCTCTTCTTTTCGTCTATCGTCTGAAGAAGTTTAATGCGAGTGTGAAGGGCAAGAAAGGCAGTGAATTCCGATTGATGACTGTCGCTCTGATGCTGGGCAATAAATGTACGTGATGGCTTATCGGTTTCACCGCTCGGTGATTCTGCTTTGTGGTTGGTGGAACGTGTGCTGACTCATCCCAGTTTTGGACGATAATACCTACACCAATAAGACGTGGGCCGAGGTCTCAGGCATCGCAGTGCAGGAGATCCACATCATGGAAGTCGAGTTCCTCAGCAACATCCGTTACGACCTCTTCTCCTCCGAGGCCGAATGGGCTCGATGGCACAACAAGCTCGGTCTTTTCGGCGACTTCTTCAACATGGCTTCCCAGCTGCCTCTCGAGAACGATGCCCCTGTGCCTCCTGTGCTGCAGCTCTCGCCGCCGCGTCTGCAGCCCCAGTCGCCCGCGTCCAAGCTCCCATCGCCCCAATCCGATATGCTTCGACCACACTCGCAGCCCAATTGGTTTCCCTCAGCGTCTGGACTTCCTTATCCTACGCCTTCGTATCTCGGAGATACCCCCCCAGAGCAGCTCTCGCAAGCGGAGTCGGGATGAAGACAGCGAGCTGCACCCAACCAAACGGATTGCTCGAACGACGACCCTTCCTACTCCTGCCTTGACTGTTCCCACCTCCATGGCTGGGATTCCCACTCTGCCGCCAATGACACCTACTTCCGCTCCCATCGCCCATACTCAAATGCCTGGTCCCGTTTCACGACTCCCACCTCCTAACCTACCACCTTCTTCCAACCCAATGGCGCAGACTCTTCCGTCTTCCGCCATGTCTCAACTTCCCGCTCTGGTCCCTCCCGTCTACAATCGTTCTCAGACGTGGGCTCAGCAAATTCCATCTGCCCACCTCTCCGCAGTACCATCTGGAGTGTACAACGCCCCATCGCTCCCCGATATTGGCCGCCACCACCAGGTCCCCTATGGTGTGTCATCTGGCACTGTCTCCCCAGCTGTTTCTGCCTACTCCGTCCACACCCCTCAAACTCATCTTTCTCCGTCTTTCTTCCTCGCCAACCGCAATTCTCCTTATCGCCCGGTTCGCTCTGTCAACACTTTGTTGATCCCACCTCCCACCTCTTCTCTTCAGCTACAGCGCAGTGTCCCGTTTGATCACATGCACTATCAACCCCTGGGAAAGACATCGGCCGATCGCAAGACGGGCTTATTGCCCTATATCCAGCCTGATGCATGGAACCAAGGATCCTTCCAACCCTACTTCCCTCCCTCGCAGCCTTTCGCAGGCTAAATTGCTCATATCTTATCTTCACGACCTCATCGCGCTACGACCAACCTTCACGAAACCCTTTCCCATTCGCTGTACATCCTTTTTTCTTATTACTCTTTTTTTCTGCTCCATCATGTACAGAATATATGGTCTTAGCATTTTGTCCGGCGTTTCACCAGACTAGAAGGGATATTCTCGGCTTCCTCGCACCATTAGTGACCAGGAAAGCGTCCACGGCGTTAATTGTTTCCCTTACAGTGGTCTTTGCTTTTTTGTTGCCACAGACGACTGTTGTTATCTCGGCAGTTCACATCGCATATGCATCCAAGGCGTTTATTTTAGCAGACAGCTTTAGTCTCGCAAAGATGACAAAAAAATTAGAATTTTACTCATCCAAATCTTCATTCCTGATTAGAATATGTAAAACCAATTAGCAAATAATAACTAGCAAAATCAACATGCGATGAAATAAGCAGAATGCTTACTTTCAAAAGGTTGGCAAACTATATGGCCAAGTCGCCTAGTCGAAATTTGGCCGTGTACTTCCCACCCGGCCCGACTTTTTCCCGACCGCTCGAGATCTTTGATGTGAGCCGCGCACCCCATTGAACAACCTTCCCAGCATCGACATCGACATCATGACTCCTCGACTGATGGGGCTGCCTCTGCAGCTTCAGCAATTCATTGCGAAGCCAATTGCCCAATCTTCACCATTCGCCTTCCTTGCGCCTCAGTTCCAATCTCGCAGCGCTCACATCCTCTCCTCCATCTCCGACAATCCCTCAGCATACAACAAACGCATCCGACGAGGCCGTGGTCCTGCCTCCGGCAAGGGTAAAACCTCTGGTCGTGGTCACAAGGGTCAGGGTCAGCACGGAAAGGTCCCCGCAGGTTTCAATGGTGGTCAGACGAAGGATATTATCGTTCACGGTGAACGCGGAGGCACCACCGAGTATGTTTTTTTTACGAACCATCATTTCCACTCCTCTCGCGCTCTCAACCACATGGTCATCGACCATTTCAGCCAACGCAAATCAAATCGGCGTCGAACTCCCTCTCTAACACCGCAATAGGCTTCACACCGAGTACGCCCCTGTGAATCTCGCACGCATACAAGAATGGATCGATCAAGGCCGCATCGACCCAGCGCGCCCAATTACAATCCGCGAACTGACACACTCACGCTGCATCCACCAATCCAAAGACGGCGTCAAGATCCTCGGCGGCAGCGACTCTGCCCTGAAACAACCAATCCACCTCGTCGTTTCGCGCGCCTCAGCATCCGCCATCTCCGCCATTGAGGCCGCCGGCGGCTCCGTTGCAACTCGCTTCTACACCCGCCAGGCCATCCGGCACATTCTCCGCATGGAGTCGCACACTTTTATTTCCATGGCATGGTCCGCTGAGAGCGGGTCTAAGGACCTGCTCAAGGCTGAGAAGGCGCCGGAGGATCTGTCCGAGTCGAATATCATGAAGGCTCTTGGTCTCCGCTACCGTCTGCCTGATCCTACCCGCCGTCGCGATATCGAGTATTACCGTGATCCTGCCCACCGTGGCTACCTGAGTCACTTGCTGAAGCCCATGGAGGGTCCTTCGTTGTTCTTCCGCTCGCCTGAGGAGCGTAAGTCGACTGCTGGTGTTAAGAAGGAGAAGGTTCTGCCCGAGAACAGACTCTGGTAAGATGGGTTTTCTAGGTGGAGACTGTTGATGTGGACTTCTTCCTTTATGCTCTACTTTGAGCAGTGTACATGTATAAATAGCCAGGCTTTGGATTTTTTCTTGTCATACAACATCATTTACTTTCTAGTTTTCTGGCACCATCTGTAAACAGCTCACACAGGGTACTGGCGGAACGGTCTTATCGGGTTGAAATATGGCAGCTTTGACTAAAACTCTTGCCCTGTGAGACCCATTACTATAGAGATGAAAAGGTTCGGAATACCATCGTCCACCGTCCATGAGTACCTGTAGTGGCATACCACTTGCCCTACACCGGGCAGAAACTAGTGATAATCCAGCAGCAACAAAAAGCCTCGATCATTCCATGGGTGGTCAGTTTTACTCTATAAGACACGATGAGTCCGGGCCTGGATTGACTGTCACGTCTGCCGATTGCGCAACCATGCCAGTGGAATCCCTATCTGGTGTCAGAAAGTGTAGTAGAAGCTTGTTGATCAACCTTCCATTCATAAGATGTGTCGTCTTGAGATCCCAAATCCTCAAGGGAAGGCCCGGCTGCATTCCCTCCGCCCTTAACACTCAAGGAATAGGGTGCAACGCCACCCGACCATGTCAGTAATGTGGACTGGCATTGCGAAAATCAAAAGGAAAATAAGTGTGGTCAGTCTTCTATCGAGGTTCAAATAACAGAGGGAACATACAACAAGTGTGGAGGGAGTGTTTATAGTGAAGACGTCCTGTGCGATGGCCGTAGCAAACACGCCCACGAGGGAAACAGTTTTGACGAGAGATAACATGTTGCAGTTCAATAAAATCCCGGAAATTGTATTTCGATATCAAAAGGAAAACTAAAAGGATTCCTCAGAGTCAGTAGGGAGGGGGGTGACTTTTATGAGGTCAACTCAATCAAGGTAGTACATAGTTACATGCTAGTATCGATCTACCATAATAGTCCTGCGAGCTATGAGGGAAAAAATGGCGGACGGGCCGATCTCAACTCTCATTCCCAATTACTATTGGCCTACGCTGTGACGATTCATTCCTTGGGGTTCAACAACAAACTCCTTGAACCGCTCGCGAATAGCTTTGCCTGCGTTGGTGCCCGACCAGGTGTATTTGATAACATCCACAAACTCTACATGTTCGAGAAACAAAGAGGGGATATTCAACACTGGAACCATATTTGAAAGCTTTTGCTTCCAAATAGTTTGCGGAAAGGTAACCAAGGTAGCCACCGGTGCATTTTTGGTCTAATAAAATGGTTAATTAATAAATGTCGAGCGGATGGAGGTAACGTATGGCTGTTTCAAGTAACCTCCGGATGACTTGTTGCGGTCCTATCGTAACTCCCTCTCTTTATATGATTATTCGTAGACGAAGTGTCTGTCTGACCCGTTGATGGATGACCAAGAGCCTTCCGGAATTGATTGCATATCACACCTGATTTGCCGTCCTTTGCATTCGCAACTTGGTCGAAAACAGTCCAACAATCCGGCTGGTGGTGTGCATCCAAGCATATACTATTGTACTATTGTGGTAGTACTGGTTGTGAAATTCAAAATAGTTTTCCAACTACTGTAGTGAAACGTTTCAAGGTTGGAAATGCCAGTACCCATGCTCCTGGTAGGTAGTTGCAGTGCCTCTATATCTCTGAAATGGAAGACGTTGAATGGGTTTTTGAGATACCATCTCCCAGGCACTGACCTCGTTGATGTTTCAAGATCGATATCAAGAGAGCTCAAGCCAGCTCTCCTACTAGTTAGTAACAAGATTCAAAATGAAGATGTCTAAAATGCTAGAAGGAAAGATCACAACTTCCTACTTTGTAGATATCCAGGGTCACCGAATCGAATCAATTAGTCAATTCAGGGGCTATATGGGATTGGATCCTCCAGCTACGAATATAACGGGTACCCGCTTTGACTGGCCGCTTTGACGTCAGAATTTACGTTAATCCCGATATTCGTTCTTTTATTTATTATTTTTTATTGGGTTTGTTTGATTGTTCAATCGGTGGCTAAAGACGGTGGTCGTACTTTAGGCCTAGACTCCATCTAATGAAATAATGGCTTGACGCGGCTGAAGATGGCGTTAGACCGAGTACGGACCAATGTCAAAGCTCCATCGATCGAAACAATGATCATCACAGATAGGGGAATTAATTGCCGTGGTTAAAAATATCCACACGAGTGTCGATGGCAACAACAACAATAATAATAATAATAATAATAATAATAATAATAATAATAATAATAATAATAATAATAATAAGGAGCTCGCGTTGTCAATGCCAATTGCAGTCGCTAAGGGCAAGACCACGCGAAAGGCCTTTATTTAGTTCGGCCAGGAGTTGCCATCTAGGACAGCTCAGGAGACAAGCATCAGTTCGGTGAACTGTTCTAGAAATTGTCTAGGGCCGACCCATCCGCATGGCAGGCCAATGGCGAATCTTTCCGCGGTCAATCTACGTCATATCATCAGAGTGACATGCTGGGGGCTTCACGAGTCCCCCGATTTCGAGTCATTTGACTGAGCGCCGACTCCTGCCGAAAATGGCTCGGGTACACAGGGGATGGACTATAGGGGGTACGGGGTGTGAGATTGGGGCGGAATGGAGTGGACCAGTGAGACTTTCCCCAGATTCCCCATGAATAAGGCTAGGTTGTAAAGTATGCGAACTTGACGATATTTTCCGGGGCCGCATGGCGGGTGATCTCGGACGGATGGGGGGAAGAGAATGGGGGGATGGGAGAAATAGGGCTAGAGAGAGGGTCAAATGGAGAGACTTTTCACGTGGAATTTATTTGGACTTTTTTTTTCCAACAAAAAAAGTACAATTCATTGTAAAATAGATATGATTATAGTACTAGGATGGGGGGAAAGGGTCAGCTCTCCTCAGCGGTTAATTTCTCCTCACCGGGATTGAGATTGTGTAGAAGCTCCCCTCACGTCTCCAATTTTTTATTTTTTATTTTTTATTTCATTCCTTTTGTTGCCCTTTCTAGCTATTTTATTGCCCTTTTTGCCGCAGAAGAAAAAATAATAAAAATAAAACTGGGTCCCGAAATGCCAGTCGGAGCTAGTTCGGAGCTGGGCTACCCGAGTATCAAATGACTCCTCGACTCGAGTAGCATACAGTAGATCGATTAACAATGAGAAATATCGGACTCGCGGAAGACAATTGAAAGGAATTACAATTCCTATTACGCTAATTAGTAGACGGTAGCGGTAGCGGAGCCAGGGTGAGAGAGCTCCGCTGAACCGGTCCAAGAGGTACTTGATGGGACATAGTAAAATAGGCGGCAAAGTAAGTACCCTTTGAACTTCCCTTGGACCCGCTGGGAACACACCGATTACACCGATTCGCCCGAAACAGCAACGCAATCGCCTTATCAAAGATTTTTGGATTTGGATTTTCCCTTGCACTACTCGTACTCTTCTCCCGGGACTTAGTCTCGCTGACTCTGACTCTTTTGACTTCCCCTACTCCTGTTCATCTCCAATTCTATCCCACCCCCCAGTTTTACCTGGGAATTCCACCATCATGGCGGGCACTTCGCTAGCGATGCGTTCAATGGCCTCCCGGCAGCTGTTCTCGCTGTCGCGCCGCTCCATCGCGACTTCGCAGGCCCTCCGCGCAGAGCCGCTCCGCCCAAACTTCCAGTCCATCTCGCGTATGGCTCGCCGCGGTTACGCTGATGCCGCTCCTTCGCCTTCCCCTTCGCCTGCTGCTCCCTCCCCCTCCCCTGCTCCCAAGCCCAAGAAGCGCTTCCGTTTCCTGCGCTGGGCATGGCGTCTGACCTGGCTGTCCGGCCTCGGTCTTACCGGTGCCATGGTCTACAGCATCTACTCCCTTCGTCACCCCGAGGAGCAGTTCGAGCCCTCTCCCGACAAGAAGACCCTCGTCATTCTCGGTATGATATTGTCGCGCCCCATTACCCTGGAGCTTTGCTAATACCCTCGCCCCTGTAGGAACCGGTTGGGGTGCTGTCTCCCTGTTAAAGAAACTCGATACCGAGAACTACAACGTCGTCGTCGTCTCCCCCCGTAACTACTTCCTGTTCACTCCCCTGCTGCCCTCATGTACCACCGGTTTGATCGAGCACCGCTCGATCATGGAGCCCATCCGCAACATTCTCCGTCAGAAGAAGGCCACCGTCAAGTTCTTCGAAGCCGAAGCTACCAAGATCGACTACGAGAAGCGCATTGTTCACATCAGTGATGACTCTGAAATTAAGGGTGACATCTCTGACACTGAGGTCCCCTTCGATATGCTGGTCATCGGTGTTGGTGCCGAGAACGCTACTTTTGGTAGGACACCACCCTTCATGTGAACCTTTAACCCGGTGGACACCGAACTGACAAAAGCTTTCTAGGTATCCCTGGTGTTCGCGAGAACTCGTGCTTCCTGAAGGAGGTCAACGATGCTCAGAACATCCGTAAGCGCGTCATGGATTGTGTCGAAACTGCTATGTTCAAGGATCAGACCGAAGATGAGGTTAAGCGTCTGCTGCACATGGTTGTCGTCGGTGGTGGCCCCACTGGTGTCGAGTTCGCCGGTGAGCTCAAGGACTTCTTCAACGATGATCTGAAGAAGTGGATTCCCGAGATTCAAGACAACTTCCACGTTACCCTGGTCGAGGCCCTGCCCAACGTTCTGCCCATGTTCTCCAAGCAACTGATTGACTACACCGAATCGACCTTCAAGGAGGAAGAGATTACCATCCGCACCAAGACCATGGTTAAGAATGTCACCGACAAGTATATCGAGGCCCAGGTTACCAACCCTGACGGATCCAAGTCTATCGAGAAAATTCCCTACGGTCTCCTGGTCTGGGCTACTGGTAACGCTGTTCGCCCTGTCATCCGCGATTTGATGGGCCAGATCCCCGCCCAGAAGGATTCCCGCCGTGGTCTTGCTGTCAACGAGTACCTTGTCGTGAACGGTGCCGAGAACATCTGGGCCGTTGGTGACTGTGCCATTACCAACTATGCTCCCACCGCTCAGGTCGCCGGTCAGGAGGGTGCTTTCCTGGCCCGCCTCTTCAACACCATGGCTAAGACCGATGCCATTGAGAAGGAGCTCCAGCACCTGTCCGACACCCAGTCCCAGGCTAAGTCCAACGATGAGCGCAACCAGATCCTCGATGAGATCCGCGAGCGCCAGAAACAGCTGCGCCGCACCAAGCAGATCGGTCCCTTCCAGTACTCCCACCAGGGTAGCTTGGCCTACATTGGCAAGGAGCGTGCCGTTGCCGACATCTCCTGGCTCTCCGGAAACATTGCTAGCGGTGGTACTCTGACCTACCTCTTCTGGCGCAGTGCCTACCTGAGCATGTGCTTCAGCTGTAAGTTTCATCTTATTCAATCTCGCCTTTCTTTAATTCTTGACATGACTTTCTAACTGTGTACAACAGCCCGCAACCGTGTTCTGGTCGCCTTTGACTGGATCAAGGCCCGCCTGTTCGGCCGTGACGTCTCCCGCGAGTAAACATATTGCATGCAAGCCATGTCAAAAGCCGTCTAACATTTCTGTTACACGGCCATCTATTTCCTTTCTGTTAAATCCACGGACAAACCCCACCTCCATGTCCATTTAACCCCTCTTGAGGGACACGTTTGAAACGCCATATCACCCCCACGCCACCACCTTTGTCAACCATTTTGGGCTTCCTTTTCTCTGTTCCGTCTGTTTCTGTGATAGACATATCCATCCACACCACCCGTTTCAATTTCCGATAACCAGCTCCTGGGACGCTGTTGGTTTGATTTTCTCGGTCCCATCTTTTCTATTCCTCCCATGTATACTTTTTTCTCCCTCATCATCGCATTGATGTGGGCCGAGGCTATCTATCCGCTCGACAAGCGCCCTCTATGCTGGGAATCAGAGAGGAAAAAGCATTAGTCCGCTCTCCTTTTTTCTTTGTTCGTTTCAGCTTCTTTTCTTTTCTCTTTGGGTTGTACGCTATTGGAATTCGATAGACTGGGTCTGGGATCATTGTCTGACCTATATTGCGCCAATGATTTTCTTCCAAACTTCCTTTGATCATGCCTGTAGGATTGGTTCGGCAGTAGTGAAATACGTGCTTGACTCTTAACCATGGGAGTAGTTTTCTTAAGTAACGAACGCATGAGGCTTGCCAAAAGAAACCCGTATAATTGGCAAAGACGTCTAAATATATATAAAAAATACAAAAAGGCCATTTCCAACAGCCGCCCAAGTCACCAAAAGTGAACCTTCAAGTTGATATTCTGGTTCGATCGACTATAGCAGGGTTGAGGCTGATGCACGATGCTTTTTTGCTTTCCTAGCCAATTTATTTTTGGCTTTTCCGGTATTTTCTATGCGCTTCTTGTGCCCTTGCGCACTCTCATACTCATCGTATCCAACATAGCGAGCACGGAGCTTTCTTCTAGCCTTAGCGACGCTGTAGTTTTAGATGCTTGTCAGCATCGCCTAAAAGAGATGCATTGCCAGAAAGTGAAAATAAAATAACTTACGCCTTGAGTTTGTCACGGGCATACTCTGCGAGAGAAGCAGCTTTTAGATGCCACTCTTTTGTTGCCCGAGTATTTCCAGCATAATCATCGGGAGCCTCAGCCTTCATCTGTCGGGTGAAAATTGTGTGTGTCCGATAATTTTCATCGTTCAAGCGTCTGGCGTCTTGTGCTTCAGTGTCCAACTTTTTATAGTCCTCGTATAGCTTGAAAAACACACTGGTGTCTGCTGAATCGTTGCCATCCTGCTCTTGAACGCGAGCAATGTTTGAAACTAGAGGTTTCATTGCGTCTCGAAAAAGGTTGCTTGAGCCAGGAGTTTGGGTTCCTCCACCACACTGGATCGAACCCGACTGCGATGTTGAGGAAGATGATGCCTCTCCCGTGCGCTAGTTGGAAATTCTTTCTTCTCGGGGGAAGGGGGATGTTCGACGAATAGGTTACCAGAGAATCCTGTTCTGCGTTGTATCTGCTTCTCGCTCGGTGGATTTATGAAGGGCAATGAGTTTGAACGTGAATTGAGCAATAGCTTTGTCTTAGGGCGTATAGGAGGAGCCATGTATTCTTCAAATTCCTTTTTCCCAGAAACAGGATTATTTTCGACAGATGGTTGGTTATCTCCCCTGTCAGGTAGTTGAGATTGCGGCATTGTCAGGGACACAGGAGGAAGAATGCCGACAATACTAGTGTATAGTATGTCAATAGAGGAGGAGAAATGTGCTTGATGGACTATAATTCAAATACCGGGCGACAAATTGTATAAATATACAACATTTTACCAAATTGACTCCCAGATGATCCAGCCAGTTCTTTTGATGAATGCCACTTATGAGACACATCGTTGCGGAAATCTACTCTTTTTGCCCAAGTGGTCAAAAATTGAGCGTGAAAAGCCAAGGACATCATGTCTTTTCAAATTGACTTGTAAAACTACACCTATGAAGCCTATGAAATCTGTGAATTAGTGAAACACCGCTTGAAATGCGCCTCTAAACGGGCCGGAATATTCAAACAATGAATGAGACAACCGGCCGATATAGCCCAAAAGTTTTATTTTGAGCCTGTAGATGGCAAGCGACAGAATAAAGCAATGCAAAAAGGCATCAAATTTTCCCCGAAAATATCATTATCTATCTGGGGACTTCACAATCAAGCGCCCTGGCTAAAATTGGAAAATCCGTCTATAGTACCGGTAACTGGGTCAATACAGCCACCTCGGGACCTACTTCGTTCATTCAACAAAGCCTTGCAGGTTTCACCCCAAAAATAAAATAGTCAAGAAAGAAAGATAAATTGACCTTATAAGTCTTTGTTCCCTTCAACACTTCTCTATAATAACCGACTCCTCGTCGCAGAAAGTCTCACATCACATCCACACTGTTAGCCTGAATCACCAGTTCGGATTAAGGAGCATTTCTCATACTACGTCAACGACTCTGTGGCAGTAAAGCGAAACTTCTCAGCCGGCAATCAATCACTGGATCATACGATAACCAGACGCTGCCATAAGAAGAAAGATAAAGATGACATCTCCATCCAGAGGTCTCGAAGATCTACCACACGAGATTCTTCATGAGGTTTTTGTGCATTTAGACTTCAAAACTCATACAAATATAGTATTTACGAGCACCCGATTGTACCGGGCTTTTAAGTCGGGCGAAAAATGGATCATTAAACAATGGCTGAACGAGCATATTGAAGATGAGGTGCTCCATGATGCCTTTGCAGTTCTATTTTCCACAATGTCTCACCGTCAAGCAGGCTGGACGTTGGATACCGGGAGAATGTTTCTCAAGGATTATAATGCCATCAATCAAAAGCCTTTTCATAGCAAGTTCTCTTGGCAGCTTTCGCTAGCACTCGCTCTATCTGAGCTTCACGAACTAGTCGAGCATTTTTTCAAGATTTATGTAAAAGACGCCTATCGCCAACTATTCAGGATACAGCCAGGTAGAGTGCCTGTCAGATTGATTGAGTACCTATCAAAATGGAGATAATCCGGTTTCGCCGCAGCTTTTATCGGTATGAAATGTGCTGCCAGTTATTCCGGACGCGTTGTCAAGCACAGGGGGACCACAGTTCTTGGAACCTCTTTGATAGTGGAGAGGGATTTTTCAAAAGCTTGGCTCCTTGGGAAGTCGAGCAATTGGTTTGTGTATACGGCTACATGATGAGGGTTATGACTCGAGGTTTGCATGCTCTCAATCCAACATCTTCTCACTGTTTCTAAACTTGAAAATATAGTAATCCAAGGACTGCGGGACCCGCGAAGAGAAAATTATTATGACAGAGACCCAAAAAGAGCGGAATATCAAATAAGTTTAGGGCTGGCCAATATCAAAAAAATGGTAGAAGCACTGGAATCAGAGTCTCGTTTCGAATTTCGAGATGATAAGATCAAATATCCTGCTATTGTTTTTGCCCGCAAATGGAGCTTTGACTTCAATTTTATCACCTCTGCATCTGACGAATACAGCCACGATTTATCCAAGCGGGAGCTTTTACGCTTGATCACAGATCTTAAATTGGATGACCAGGCAAGCAGAATTTATCCGCCATTCTATCATGATACAGAGCGTGGACCAGAAGAGATATGGCTATGGTCCCAGCGGAAGGTGGTTTGGGATGACTCTTATTCGTTGCGTGACGTAGTAAACGACCTACACAATGATATCTTACGGCGCCAGGCCTATGTCATGTGGGACCGATCTCGACTTGATATAGCTGAAATCATACGTCCTCTGCCTGATGATTTTCCAAACAGCTTTATGGGGGAATTTGATAGTTATACTGAACTTTCAAACTCTGATGATGATGAAGACTAAATTTTGTGAATTGCAAACCACTGCTTACGGAATGGGAGAGGATATTTGAGCAAAGCCATATTTTCAACGCTAGAGTTTGCTAAATTAGATCAATCCATTGCTTCACATTGGATAGAGTATAATATTATTTCAGAATTTCGATGTCGAGCACCTGAAATACAATCCCTGGATACCTAGTGATGAAGGAAGCGCTCATTGAAATCACGCGCTGCGGCGTGAGGGTCGATTCAGCTGATAAAACCACCACAGAACTCTCCGAGATTGTTCAACAAAGGATGATTTCTTTCACAAATAGGCGAACACCATAGTTAGTAGGTTAGCTGAAAAGTAAAGGTTAAGAGAGATGCATAAAATTGGCCAAAATAGTACTAGCGCGTAGTCAGACCCCATGAACACCGTGTGGACTTGATTATGTAGGCGCCCGCCGTAAGCAGAGAATACGAGGGGCGGAAATGACAACTTCGATGCTCTTACGCGCTACTTTAACGGCTCATCTGCGCACACCTGAAGAAGATCTACATCCAACTATATCGAGAATATCGAGAAAATCGAGAAAATAGTGCAAAATGCTGCGGAAAAAGGAATCCTATATCAGCATCACTCCCATCCCCTCGTCCGTCCCTCGTCAGCTAGCGCTGGATATATTGCACAGCCACGGTGAAATTATCACACTTAACCCGCTTGTGCTGTCCTATCATCCGATCACAGCACCCAGAGATGCCGCCGCAGATGAATATTATTCTACCTGGTATGAGATTATCGAGCGAGTCCAATATCTTCCGGGCCTAGGGAAGCTGGGAGCCGGCAAGATAAGCTTCAAGGGCTGCTTTCACAATACTCCGTGGGGTCTACAGACTCACACGTTCGTTCCTCTGGGAATCGATATTCGCAGCAAATGGCGCATCGGTGGAAATCAACCTAATGAGCCACGTCAACCGAAGGAGTTTCTAGTAGACGGCGAGCCAGAAAACGGACTCTATCTACGGGAGGACATCCAAATTGAGTGCAATTTAACGTTAATTTCTTTTGTCAAGAGTCAAATGAAGGCCGCATCGAAAGTACTGGTGGAAAGACTGATGAAGAAAGCTGAACTTCTCGACGCGGGCGTTTTGGAGGCTTATATGGAAGATGGTAAACTCAAGACCATCAATCCCGCCAATCGTTCAAACCTATTTCAGCCCTCGTCGCCATTGCAGTCTCCACGACTAGAGCCAGAAGCAATGTCAGAGTCTTCATCGAGCCGATCCGGAGCTCAATCCCTTACTGAACATCCACGATGGGGGTCCACGTCTAGGCGGCGGCGACTGTCAAGCCAAGTTTCGTCGCAGTCTGGAAAGGAAAAGAAAAACTTTGTGGCGGAGCTGCCAGGGAATTATTACCATCCGCAGTCTCAGGCTGAGTTGGAAAATCAGACGCATGAGCTACCAGGTACGAACAGCCACTACTAGTTTTGATCTCAAAACTTGAGCTCACATTTAAAATCAGATCAACCAGTCAACCCCGGCCCCCTCTCCCCTAAACCTAAGGAAGCCCGCCATTCTCGTCACTATTCAAGAGATGGAGGCTCAACAGCGAATCATGAGGTCCACAACACCATTCATGAGATGGGTAATGGCTGAAGAGCGCTGTCTTGCTTCGAGTTATGGGATGAGCTGCCAGTGCGTATGTTCCTGCAATTGTTTACTGACCTGGGCTTTATGTGTAGTATTTCTGCGCCATTTGATTTCTTGTATATCAACCTAGGGACAAGAGGATACGGTGCTTCTATTTTATTGGGGGTTGTCTCTCGTTATTTTGTCTTCTTGATTATCTATTTACTACTTACTGCTTTATCAAATAAATGTTTGGCCGGGTTTTGCTCAGTGCATCTGGTTTTTCTTTCAAGTTTATTCGTCTAGTACCTTGGGACAGTCCGCTCGGAGTAAACACCCAATTTGCAATACTGTTAATGCGCGCGTGGATATATAAGGTAATTTGTTTTGACTTCAACTCTATGTACAAGTGGCAAGTTATTATCTTAAGGTGCAGATATCTCAATAGAGGAGAGAAAGAGACCGTAAAATTCTCCAGAAACAGAAAAGAGGGGAATATGGGACGAGTGAAAGGTATCAAAATTACAACTGTGGCGCGGGGATGTCTAACCGGGAAAGGGAAGGGGGGTATGAAAGGGAGTAAATCGAAAAGCACAGATTCGCAGATCGTAACAGACGATCCTTAGAAGATATTCCAGCGGCTGCGAGTTTCTTTCGCGACCTGCGCACGGTCAGAATTGCGGTGCATGCTTCGACCGTCTAACTGTCGGATACCCTCGATCTTCTGAAGCGCCAGTTCTAGCAATTCCTTCTTGCGGATGATGTCCAAGTGACGGCGAACCCTAGGGTCTTCGCGGGCAAAACGCTCAACTTCTTCGTCCGAGAGGTGTCTACCGAGACGCAGGTCCAGTTCTCGGGGGAAGTTGTAGTAGAACTCAGAGAGAAGCTCAACGTTGAGGAACAGCACTGCTGTTGACGTGAGCTTATCCGCTACCACATCGAGGAAGACTTCTGGGCAGTGGTATTTGTTCTTTTGGGACGCGCACTGCTTGGATCGCACAGCCATCATTCGCATTTTGATGAGGTCAGCTCGATCCCGGAGGAAGATGCCATCTCGGCCTGGATGTTAAGTTAGTCTCAACCCCGGAGATGTTATGTTTTGCTTAATCAGAGTTATGCAACTTACCTCTCTCGAGCAGGGCGGAACTGAAGCCACCGGCACCGCCGGCGCCATTGCCCTCAAGCACCACATCACCCTTCCGCACTTTGTCGATAAACGCCATCACGTCCTTGAGCTTTCTCTTTCCAACAAGATCTTCGGCATGCTTCATAGCCGATTCGCAAGCCCGGAGCTCATCCTTCAGCACCCTGCTCACGTTTTCCCTGCCCTTGGTCCATTCCGAGTCCTCAACCTCAATTTCAAATTTATAAGGCTTGATGCAGTTCTCCACCTGGTCACTAGTACTGAAGAATCGATCATTCAGGATACTGTTGCAGGCGTCGGTAATCTGCTTGTGTGCCCCGGGGTGAGAGGCAAAGGTAGAAGACGCCAGAAGCTGATCAACATGGTTTTGGAGGGCATTAGCGACCACTGTGGTGGCGAGTCGGCCGATTCCGAGCTTTGTCAAAGAGGAGGTAGATGCATCCAGCTTGCGGTGCCAGAACAATGACTCCGGGTCGGCCTTGGGTAAATCCTTCAATGGATCGAGCTCTGCCATTACCTCCTCCAAGTCCTCTACTGGCTTGTTCCAGTAGCGCTGCGCCAAGATATCCATAACGCGTTGGTCGAGTTCGGCCTTCAGCATCTCCCGAACCTGCGGTCGACCGAAGCTCTCGGCGAATGCTTTAAACGAATGCTTGAAGCCGTCCAGGCTCTCGGCGAGGTATGATTCCGCACTCAATGGTCGGTCATTGTATTGCACTTTGAATTCATATGTTGCCTCTTCAAGCTCCTGGCTGATGGCATCTCTTGTGCCCGCTAAGCTGGACGCCATGGTCTGTTCAAGGACATGCATCAGCTTCTTACGTAGTGTTGATACACCAACCGAGGTCTCTGAGTGAGCACCGAATTCGGCTGGGTGCGCAGAGAAGAAAGAATTTTCGTTCTTCAAGATAGCGCTTGTGATGTTTCCAGATCCCCGAGAAAAGAGAGCTGATGTTTGGGGATTCCGGCTAATGACGCCCACATAGCCCAGTCGAAGGGGGTACTTCTTGTCGCATAGAACATCATGGCCTCGTTCAGGGTCGACGAGATCCATCTTGGTAATAACACCAATTGTACGTTCACCGCGAGGGTCCACGCGACGACTAGATCTCAGCGCTGTTGAGTTCGCAAGATCGACATCAGCCGCTGAAATAGCCAGAATGACGTTGGGTGCTTGGATATATTTGTCGCAAAGGTCTGCGATCTTCTGCTTCAACTCTGGGGGTTGATCGTGTCCAGCAACCTGGATGTAACCAGGAAGATCAATCATGGACAGGTCTGGAACATTGGGCGAATAGATTGTCAACTGAATGGGGTCATCCGAGACACAGTCCTTTTCTGGAACCGCGAGGTTGAGGTCTGTCAGGGTCCGTTGGATCGAGGAGAAGTCGGTGATTTTGCCAAGTCCCAAAGCCGGAAATTCACCATACTCTGCTTGTGCATTGGGGGTGTTGACCAGGGTCAACTCGATAGGTCGCCGAGTGACCATATTGGAGCCCTTGGGTAGAAACTCATGACCCACAATAGCTTCTAGGACCGAGCTTTTACCAGACGACTGCGATCCGATAACGACGATGGAGGGGAGGGTCAAGGTTCCTGATTGACCGACAGATTGGAGGATGTTTCGAATCTCAATCATTTTGCGGGTAAGAAGCATCATCTGGTCATCTTCGGCAACCTGTTGGTCAGGTCGGGAGTCGTCCTCGTCTGATTGATCATAACCAAACGCCGCGCCAGAAGCAGCCGCTGCTCCGACTCCGGCTCGGCCCTCCTTTGGCTCTTTACCACCACCCGAGCCGCCAGATTGGGACTCCTCGTCCTGTCGGAGGATCTTCTGGAGCCACTCAGGGGTTTCGATATCCTCTGTTGTCTTGTTCCATCCCCGTTGTGTTTGATCCGCGATATCCTGAAGACCCTGAAATAGGCCCGATGCCGTGTTGCTTGCTGTCTCTCCGGCGGTCTTGAACATATCGATCGCATAGTTTCCAGCCTCTATTAAAGTATGTATTAGTAGATGATACGTTTGGGGGATCACGGGGAAAACATAGCACGTACGGGTGGCTTGATACTGGACGTAAGCTAGACCGGCGACCGTAGCACCCCCGAACATAGCAGGTATGCGAGCAAACTTGAGAGCCAGCTTTGGGAGAAAGCGGCCATATTTGAAGGAGAACTCCCGTACAGCCGGGACATTGTGAATAGCACTTGCACCGATCGGCCATGCGCGTCCCCTCAAAGCGGCACCTCCATCGGCGCGCAACAAG